TCGGAATGAACTTTTTTTTGTTTGAAAGATAAGTTTACATGCTATCTTTCTAACATTTACACTTTTGTTTTATGTTTAGTACATATTTCGTAATTTTGCAAAAACCTATATTTTTAAAGATTTTTGTGTTATTTTTGTCGATAACGTTTTATTGATACAATATATCAGAAATAACTTAAAGACAAAGTTGTAGCAGGTTAAAAGAGCTTTACAAAAGTACCAAATTCGATATGCTTTACTCAAAAGATCACGTCAAGAAACTAGAAAATCGTACAAAACAACCTAATTTTGCGCAAAAACGCATATAAATCCGACATCGATGGCTGTGTACGAGTCATATATAGACAGTTTTACCATTCAATGTTGATGTATGTGTCTAAAGAAGTGTTTTCAACTCGGGTGTCACGTCTGGACTCACTGCAGTTTCCGGTTATGATGTCTTTAAAATTGCTACACATTGTATTAACAACTCAAACAATGTTAATTTAATAGATTAATTGAAAATCAATCCAGGCAAATGGAAATTCGCTTAGTCGACAGGATTGCTGCACCGGGGGTATTTATATAGTGGAAACATTCCTATGGACTAATTACATTGATTTGTTGTGCTTTTATTTGCATAAAAGAGGGCAATGGTCTTATTTTAAGTAAAATAGCTGGTGAAATCGTAACATGTAGCAATTTTAAAGACATCATAACCGGAAACTGCAGTGAGTTAGACGTGACACCCGAGTTAAAAACACTTCTTTAGACACATACATCAACATTGAATGGTAAAACTGTCTATATATGACTCGTACACAGCCATCGATGTCGGATTTATATGCGTTTTTGCGCAAAATTAGGTTGTTTTGTACGATTTTCTAGTTTCTTGACGTGATATTTTGAGTAAAGCATATCGAATTTGGTACTTTTGTAAAGCTCTTTTAACGTGCTACAACTTTGTCTTTAAGTTATTTCTGATATATTGTATCAATAAAACGTTATCGACAAAAATAACACAAAAATCTTTAAAAATATAGGTTTTTGCAAAATTACGAAATATGTACTAAACATAAAACAAAAGTGTAAATGTAAGAAAGATAGCATGTAAACTTATCTTTCAAATAAAAAAAAGTTCATTCCGATCCGATACATGGTATGTAAAATATCGTTATTTTTAATATAGCCCTTTCCGCCATTTTAATGACGTCATAACCGGAAACTGCAATGGGTGCAGACGTGACACCCGAGTTGAAAACACTTATTTAGACACATACATCACCATTGAATGGCGAAACTGTCTTTATAACACTTGCGAACTGCCCTAGATGCCGGACTAATAGGCGTTTTTGCGCCAAAATAGGTGTTTTTATGAGATTTATCTAGTTTCTTGGCGTAATCTTTTGAGTAAAACATATCGAATTTGGTATTTTTGTAAAGCTTTTTAAATGTTCTACAACTTTTTTCATTGGTGGTTTTTGATAAATTGTATCAATAAAACGTTACAAACAAAAATAACTCAAAAATATTTAAAAATACAGGTTTTTGCAAAATTACGAAGAATGTACTAAACATACAACAAATGTGTAAATGTAAAACAGGTAGCATTTAAAATTATCTTTCAAACAAAAAAAAGTTCATTCCGATCCGACAAATAGTTTGCGAAATATACGATTTAAAAAAATCAATGGCCGCCATTTTGATGACGTCATAGCTCGAAAACGTACCAGGTGCGAACTTGACACCCGAGTGGAAAACACTTCCTAAGACACCTATATTGAAATGCAAAAGCAAAATTCTCTATACACGACATGCACACAGAACCCTAGTCAGGTCCTGGACTATACTATCCCCTCACTTGTCAGTAAGTAATAGTTTGCCCTTAATATAGTCAAAATGAAGGTAGAAATCTTCAGTCTCATAAGACTGTAAAGCAGTTTAGAGTTAAAATGTGCAAATAAATAGAATACCTGTATTAGGTTTTTGAAATATAAAAAATGTAAAGCTTCACACTGCTAAATTATTGTGTGATTTGTATACCTTGTTAATGTACAACTTATCAGTAACAAAACAAGTCAATGTGAAAACGGGACATCAAAACAATCAAGTGGAAATTAATCGGCTTGCTTTAAGGTTATTAAAAGGCTGTCACTTCATTCACCATTAAATTGTGGATGAGCAGAAAATTCATTTAACCAAACCCCCCTTCACTACTGCCCATTCTGTTTCACTGTTTGTGTATTACTTAGTTCAATTTTAAATCCAGCTATCTTCAAAATTTTTTTACATTAATTTTAATTGTGCCCTTGTTTAATGAATTTATTCGCTGGTTTGCATGAAAAGTATTTGTTTTGTTATATAGGCCTACATGTTATTAACAAAAACATTTTACCCTTTCGTTAAAACCCTTTTTTTAATCGATTCATGGTTTTCAAACCTTTACAGCTTCATTTTATTATTAATTAACTAAGTTTATAGGCCTACTCATCCTTAGGCAACAATAGAGGCGGGGTATATGGCTTAAAACTTGTCAGTTACACTTTCAGAAACGTATTTCAAACTGTAAAGTGCAGAAAGAAACAAAAAGAAAATCACATCTTTCTCATATAAGTTAAGCCGATGAAAAATAAGGGGTGATATTTTTGTGTATTTGTTACTACAAGAATGTAAACTGAATTACCATGTCTGTCTGAAGTGTTACAACCATCAAGTTGGTATTCAATAGCATTTGAACAGGCATTACTGTGTGTATAGAAATAAAAAATATCCAAGTTTGATAATTTCGTAAACATTTTACAGCTAATCAAAATACAAATTTAAATTATCTTGAGCTTATTTTATATTTTGTTCAAAACATACTTAATAAATAGTGTGAGCTTATACTATATAGAAATACTGAAAAAAATACTATCTATCTGCATTGCTGTATATATATATATGTGTCCGTTAGCGCGATAACTCGAGCAAAAACGATCCGATTTTGATGAAATTTGGTACAAACGTGTAAACCTAGGTTTATTTGAACGAGTTCGCGGGGAACGGGGGTTTTATGGGGTAAAAAGTGGGTTTTCCCATTTTTGACTCAAAAAACATAAAATTTGCAATTTCTTTCCAAACTATTTTGTAGAGCTTAACAAAACAAATAATTTAGTATATTGAAGCGTTATAATGCACCTAATGGTTACGGAGAAAATTCCAAAAAATTTTAAATTTAAAATTCCCATGTTATTCTTATGGAGAATAAGTTTAAACTGTTGTAGTTTGTTTGTTATTAACATATTTTGCCCAAATTCGGAAAATGTTTTTATTTCTTACTAACTATTAACATTTTACATAACAAAACACTTTTACCCTCCCTGTTGCAGCAAACCTAAGTATGTGTTAAACTGATTCTATTTAAATAGGGAATAAATGTGATATTTTTAAGGAGACATTTTAGTGTGAATCCAATCAGGCAAATGGAAATTTGCTTAGTCTGCAGGTTTGCTGCGGCGGGGGTATTTATTTGTACATTTATTTTTTGTAAGTTATGCTACTATTAATTGCAGTATTTGCCTTAGCTCAAATGGAAGAGTTAATTGACATTTTCGAAGAAGTTGAATATGAAGATTATAACACTTTATTACCAAGAACAAGAGGGCCTACTAAAATAATGGACAGAATTCGTCTTGTTGTAAAAGAAAAATCAATTTTATAACATAACGTAACCTTAAACAGTGATGTTATTCTAGCAGCATTCGCACTTTGCTCGTCTGCTGTACTGAGTTGCAGCGTAGCGTAGCGAGCGTTGTAAGAAACACTAGCCCAAAGCCCACCGAAGATTCCTTACAAACACACATTCAGGATTGCCAACCGCTCGAATTTCCATTTATCTTAAACGAAGCCAGTAAAATGTTGGGGAAACTGAACACACATTTTAAACGGAGTTTAAAAATAAACTAGTTTATTTTATAAACGAAGTTTACATCATTTTGGGGAAACCGGGCCTTAGATATGAATACACATAAGATTAAAATGGGAAACTCCAGGGCCACTGCGGTGGAGCCTGAAAGGATTTTTGAGATAAGAATATGTCTATATGTTAATCGGGAATGTGAGCTATCATCCTACCAAATTTCGGCCCAATCCAACCGGTAGTTAAAGCATTATTGAAGTTCAAACAAACACACAAACTTTCACCGTTATAATACTAGTAGAACGCTTATTCTGCGCGTAAAGGGATTTTGATTGGATATGAGAGTGAACATTTTTTTTGTAGGCCTACTTAATACTTGTAGTCTTCATATATGACTGGATATTCCAGATTGATTGCATCAGATTTCTTCTTATGATTGATAGATTACGTAAATAAAACACCCTTTTCAAGAAATTTATTCTGACATTTTGGCATATTTGTAACATAAAAAATAATATGTAAAGGTACAAGAATGGACCCTTTAGGGGTGCCATGCGCTATGTTTTGTGTTGAGGATAGGATTTGAGTGCTGTTTATATGACTGAATTCTGCTAACTGCTGCCTATTGGTGATATACAACCTAAAACACTATTAAGTAGTAAAAAACATAAATAGGTACCGGTAATGTAGTCCCTGTAATAACCTTTCATGTGAAATGTTATCAAAAGCCAAATAAAGTTCCATCAAAATACCAGCATCACTTTCTTTTTTGTCTATTGATTCTATAACTATAACTGATTTATCCATGGCTTTTAAAAAAAAAACTTGTTAGTTTGAAGAGAAAATAGAAACTGGGCAATAATTTTTGACATGATGGTCTTCCCCTTTTTTGGAATCTGGAATAATTATAGCAATTTTCAATCTGCCCTAATGTTTCAGAGTTATAGAATGGATTTGTAAGGAGTAATTAATAACAAATAAATGACATTTCTGTAAATGGTATAACTTTCATTAATATTTTATCATATTATTGAGAATTTTATTTTTAAGAACCAATTATTTTAGCCAATTTCAACACTAAAACAGCAACATTTCAATACTAAAAGCCATAACTTTGTTTCAGCTTATAACAATCCCGATTCTACAAAACTTTGGATTGCTGTACAGAGATGTGTTTAGCTCTTCAGCATTAAACATGAGAGATGCTAGCATCATCATTAACACAAACTCTGCATTTGGATATGTTCTTGGTAAGTAATGAATCCATAAGGTTTATTAACATTCCATCAAATGCTCAATGGATTAAAATACTTGATAAATGTTGTTTTCTAAATCCCCTTAGACTTTTCAACCTACCATTTTGCAATTACACTGCCAATAAACAATAATGAATTGTTGATGTTGCCAATCAAAACTGTGAGGTTTTAAGCAATTACACAACATATTTAATTTACACCTGATGCTGGAAACTCTCTAGTATAGCTGTTGGACCTCGATAAATATCATTTGGCCGCTTTTACACCTAAGTTCATTTTATGCACATTTTCATTCATATTGCACGCGTCATGTGTTTACTTTGTAGCTTCCAATATCTTTTGAATACCAACTATCCTTTACAAGGTTTTGTGCAGGTAAAGTTAACAAATACCAAAAATGGTAGTTATTGTGTTACAAATTCTATATCCATAACTTTTCTATATTTATTTCTCTTCATGTTAAGTTTTCAAAGGCTTTTGTTGAAACTCTCTTGTGCCATATTACAGGGGTGCTGAATGGGCCGATTCTTCGCAACCTCGGGTTCAGGAAGGTGGCTGTGACTGGAGGTTTGATGATGTTTGTGGGTCTGTTCGTCACAAGCTTTGCTAAAAGCTTTGTTCTTCTCTTTCTCTTCTACGGACTTATAAACTGTAAGTTTCATTTTTGTTTGTCAACAACCTTGTGTAGTTAGTTTATAGAATGAAAATGTATTACAAAACTACCTTCAGCATAAATCATATTTCCTCTTTCAAACCAACTGCAGCACATATTTTACAATAGAGGATATTGTAGCAAAAATACTTATCTATAAACTGGCTACTATTAACTAGATGTAACGTTTTGAAATTTTGTGCTAGTGTAAGCCTAATCAGAACAGAGATAATTCTTTACATAAATCATCAATGATTTATGGCATTAAATTAACCATAAAAAATAAATAATCTTATCACTATTAATCCGTAACAACAAAACATACATTGGCTAAAACAAAACTGATGGATAAAAACACAAATAGTTCACAGGGTAGGACAACAAATTAAAAACAGAAAAATTTAATCAATAACCACACATCTTAGGTCAATATTAATATTGTAGGTGACAACAGAAAATGTGCACTGAATAAAAAAAAATCTCGTTGCAGCTAAAGAAATATTTTGAATATTGTACAGCAATATTGGTAATATATAAAGGATGTTCTGTGGTACCCAGTACTTACTAAAATGTGTTTGACATGTAAAATCGGTTAATGAATATTAAATCAATGCTATTCAAATGACACCTAGTCAATTAGAGAAAGTTTGACATAATTGATTCGTGTTCCAGTGGCTTGACTTTATGATACAGAATGTCAAAACTCCAGGAAAATGTGGTTAAATATCAACTTAATTGTTATTTTGAAACACTTAATCCTACTGTTGCTTTATCCAATAAAATATTCTCTCTTACCAGGATCTATCTCATCGTCTAGGTAGAGTTTTGTCTCATTTTAAGAAAAAAAAATATTTTGTTTGGCCTGCTGATTTAAAACAAGATATAATTTCAATATTCATTATTAAATTTGAATTCAATTAAATTCTAGTGCATCGTTGGACATGTTGCTCTCATTATCTAATAGTAAATCTCTAGGTCAATAGGTAAAAAGTTGATTTGTTATAGGGCTTTGGGTTTTTAATATTTATCTTTTAACCATGGTTCAATGTCATGCGGAATGCATTAAATAACCCCCACCTCGTGACAAGAAGAAATTACTGGTAATAACCCCTTGCTATCCTCCATTGTATACTTATTGTGCAGTGCAGTACTGGTGTTATAGGAGATAGTTGTGTTATGCTAAATATACTAGAAACATCATATTTATTGTCTTGCAAGTTTCGTCAACTGTTTTTGCTATACTCGTAAAGGCGCTATGGAAAATGTTTACTTATTTATGTATTTGTAGGCCTATGTAAGTAGCCTATAACTTGATGTATTTTATTTTTATATATTGGTATTTTCACTTAATGATTTGGATTATGCTACAGAACATCAAGTGTAGCTGTAACTCCCATTTGAATAACATTGCTTATGGACATTTCGTACTGCTTGGTGATTGTACCTTTACACAATTATTGTTTTGCTATCAGCATTGGGTATCGGTTGGTCAATGGCATCGTTTCACCTGGCCCTGTCCACCTACTTTGTCAAGCGGAGAGGTATGGCTATGGGCATCGCCATGACTATCACTGGCCTAGGACCTGTGGTCATGCCTCTCGTCATCAGTCTACTCATGGAGAACTACGGAGCTCGAGGTGCGACTCTGCTGCTCTCTGGGCTAGTGCTGCATTGTGTCGTCTGCGGACTGCTGCTGCAGCCAGTCAAGTGGCATCGCAAAACTTTGACAGGTAGTTTATTGTTTATGTTCTGTCTTGTGTATTTTGTCAGAAAGATTACGAGATAAATATTATGTAACGCATGATTCTGATGAGCTTAATAACAGTAAATTCAATATAATTTATATCAGTGTATAAGGCAAGAACCTGCTGTAAAACCTCTGTGTCTGCAAATAAATGTATTTTGTAGTTTTTTACACAATTTTCTCTTAAAGTTCATTTGGATAATCAAGATCCTACTGTCACAGTTGGTTTATAATTGTTATCTAGAATTTATATTTTTATTTAATTCTAAGCAAGTTACAAAAACTAATCACTACATTACAGTCCAACCTTGGTATAATGAAACTGAAGGGACCGAACTGAATATTCGTTATATCAAGGATTTTGTTAAAACGAGGTTCGTTATATTGAGGTTAGGTTTGCAGGGATTTCGCTAAGTCAGAAGTTCAGAACCAGCATCGGTCAATATAGGTCGGGATATGACCTCATTAAAACACAATTAAGTAGCATAGGCTACAATACAGTGTTTACATTGCAAAGTAGAACCTCGATTATCCGGTTTAATAAAGGGGGAGGGAGACTACGGATAGTAAAAAAAACCACAGTATATAACCATGGCATAAAAACCCATAAAACACTGAAATACTTTGTAAATAATAAGTCATTAAGTCAAGTAATTAAATTAAGTCATTACATTAAGTAATTAAATAATTCATTAAAAAAGTGTATAATCATAGCCAACTTAAAGATAATAAAACACTCGTAAAAGGAATGTTAAGATAACAATGTTGCTATTCTTTCTCTTTGCTTTTGTTCTTCTATTCTTTCTTAGGTTTCTCTTCATCCAAAATTTGTACAAGTCACCATAGTTACTTATCACCCAATCACAGTTTACTAAACATTACGTCGTCATCAGTCCTCAGTATGTCACATAGCGTGCAGCGACAGCAGACAGAGATGTGTAAAATGGAGCAGACAAATGTTAGCGCAAGCGTTGACGTCACCTTTCCATTTCATTTGATGAAGAAACTGATTTTTCAAAAAAACAATAATGGAGGGGGGGTTTGTTGAGGGAAAGACGCAGACGATTTGTTAAGTTGAGGTTAAATTCGCTATGTAGAGGTTCTGACAATGATAAATTCGTTGTATTGATTAGGTGTCTTATTTTAGCCGGGATCATGACAAATTTGTTAAATCAAGGTCGTTGATATGGTTTCTTCGTTATGTAGAGGTGAAATATATATTGTGTCTTATAGAGAGTTCTAGGGGATTTAAAAACATTCTTTATATGAAAGAATTTGTTATATCGGGGTTCGTTATATCAAGGTTTGTTATATCGAGGTTTGTTATATCAAGGTTATTACTAAAATTACAAAATCTTTCTTCGTAATTTTAGATCTCTAACTTTTCTTTTAAATCTGTTTGTATGTGTCAATTACGCTTATTTGCAACTTCTAAATAATTATAGGCTAAAACACCAATAACCACTACATTATAAACATTACAATATACAAATTTGTATTGTGATCTTTTAAAAGAAAGCTGTACCACTAAATTAATCTACCTTTTTTCAGAAGAAGAAAAGATAACTAAAGAGGCTGAATCAATGCTGAAAGAATCTACTGACTCTGATGGTATGTGTGATGTTTAATATGTGTGATGATTTGTAACACTATGAGTAGGCCTAATACACAGTAACACAAAGGTAACACCTTAGTCACTTAGGTACTGTAAGGTACTTTAATACACAACTACTGTATACTAGAGTCATTATTATCCAAATCACTTGTTGGTAGGGATGGACAGGATTGAATTTTTAGTTCGGGACGGAACGGGATTTTTATTTCCTTCCCAATTTTCGGGATGGACCGGGACGGGATCCTTTCCTGTGCATAAAAGTCTAGAGTATTGCGGTTAGCAAAAGAGACAAAACAAAATAAATTTTTACTGTTTGTGGCACTGATCTATAAAAACCAAAAAATGGGTAACAATCTACAGGTACCTATTGAAACTTGTGACTCGCGGTCGAAATGACTCGCGGTCACGGTGCGATCGTAAAAATGACCGCAGTCACGAGGTGATCGTCGGTATGACTCGCGGTCACGGCGTGATCGTCGGTATGACTCTGCGGTGACCGCGTGATCGTCGATATGACTCGCGGTCACGGCGGGATCGTCGGTATATTCTTCGCCTCCTGCGTTCGCGGAACTATTGTGAACATCTCTCGCGATAGCGGCGTCATCGTCACTCGCGAAGCGGCCAAATTGCCAACGATCGGACCAAATCCTGTCCCAAAAAATTCCCGAATCAATTGTAATCCCGTCCCGAAAATCAGGAATATTTTTTTCCCGAAAATTTCCCGAAATTTCGGGACTCGTACATCCCTTGTTGGAAAAAAAGTTTGTTGGGCTTTTTAAAGTTAACTCATTTGCTGCGGGTGCCGGGTCAGTAGGCCTAGTGACCCTCACTGGAGTGCATCAATCTGTTATTCTGTTGCTCAGTGCGAGCCTAGCGTCCGTCGAAAGCGGACCTACACCTCGTTAGCGTGTAGTTTGTGACTTGCTTTTTGTTGTGGTGTCGGTTGTTAGTAAATTTACCCGTAAAATCCCCGTCTGGCAAGCTTAGAAATCAACTTTTTTTCCCGTCTTTCTCCCTCCAATTGGCAATACAATGGTACCGGCTACGTTCCAAGCAGTGTTGCTATCTGTGGGTGTTTTAGCAAACTATTTTGACTCTCGTCGTAAAGTAGTACATCACCGCACGTTATTTGCTATTTGTCAGGACCAAAATTTGAAAGCTAATCGCCCGGCAATCGGGTTTGTTCGACGGCCTGCCATTGATGGGTCGCAGCTAACAAAGTTAAAGAAAAAACTCTATTTTCTTAAATACTGACCAGTGTCCAGCCGACTAGGAAACCAGAAAAATGAAAATTGTACTGAAATCTTTACTTATAATTCAGGGTGTCCACATTCTGGAAAGTCAGGGATAGTCATGGAAAGTCATGGAAAAAAATTCTGGTCATTGAAAGTCATGGAAATAGGCAAAAAGTCATGGAAATCCCCAATGATGGATGGTTTCCAGGGGACCTTTCAATGCTCTAGTCGGTCGTAACCCCAACTATTGTAGCATTTTCCGAATTTTTCACAAATGTACGACAATTTCAATTTATGCAGTTGTCTTAGTTTATGGGTTTTGAGTTTGTATTAGTTCATTGTTGTACCTATTGTACTCCATTGTTATCTGTTATTACATATTTCAATATTTTCTGTGAAATAACTTGTCTAGGCAGTATTATTCGTGTGTATACGGTATATTATAATTTTTGAGTTAAGTTCGTGAGTCATGGAAATCAATGGTTAATGGTCATGGATAGTCATGGAAAGTCAGGGAAATTAAAGACAAAGTTTCTGTGGACACCCTGTAATTGAGTTTTGTGTGAAACCAAGACATTTTGAATAAATCACCATTAGTCTATGGCTGAGTGTGTATTGATGAACGGCATGGCGTGTTGATTATTTTAAGGTGGGAAAGGGAAATGATCACAATTAGTGCCGTAATTGCAAGAAACGATCGTGGTTTTGTCGTCAAAACCGAGGGATATGCCCTAATTAGTCCTTAGAATACATTGTATTAATTTTTTAAATGGGATTTCTGCATTCCCTGCTAATCCGAATAATTCTGTACCGTTATCCGTTATACGAACTGAACTGGATCTGGTCCCAATTAACTTAGATAAATGGGACTCTTGTGTACAATATTGAGGTGAGTCGGTGGCTCAGTCAGTAGCATCACGGACTTCAGGCCCAAGGCAGCAATGTCGTGGGTTCGGATCCTGGTGACTGCCGAAAACATTTTATCAGTACAGTTCACCTTTGTACCGTACAAGCTCACCCCTTGCTTTGCTGGATAGTTTCCACGCACGGGCAGTTAGTCTATGTAGATGGGCAAATGCAAGGTTAAAGGAGACCGCCAACCTCTTAAAAAAAAATAAATAAAAAATTGTGTTGGTGTATATCTGTGTCATACGCCGAGCTGACGTTTCGACCTTGTTGCAGATGCTTATCTACAGAGTAATAACAGTAGTTTAGTTATGTTACTAACTGTACAGAAACAGAATCTGAAACAAAGTTGGAAGTCAACTCAAGTTATCTGGAATATCACACAGTTTTACATCAATAACCACAATATTGCAGTAAAATTATTTGTGTTCTGTTACTTTGATTGTGGTTGTGAATGTTGTTTATTTATATACCAGCAAAGATATAAAATAACATCAAGATATATTATGTCAATTTACATTTACTCTGCCATCCCAATTTTGTCAAAATTTACTCAACCTTTTTTACTTTCATATAAAACATTTTATTTTCATGTATAGACTAACTAGATGATGGTTGTGTTTGTGCTAGAAAGCAAGAAGAAACAGTCAGACGTTTGTGGAGATAGATATTGTACGGAATGGAGAAGTGAAGGAGATCGAGATGAAGGATTTCTCTGCTCCAACTGAGCAAAAGGAAAATCTTCTAGAGGAGAAACGTGAAGAGAAAGTGGAGAAGAAAAATGAGTAAGTATTTTATAGATTTACGCTGTTGCTGAATCTTTACTATTAATTTGTAATCCGCATCAAAGAAATTGTATGCAGTAAAACTCCACTCAACAAAGAAATTGGTGAGGCAGTTTCACCCATTAATTATTTTTAATTATTAATTTTTTTTTTCATTTAAACAATGGTGTTAATGTAAATGCTATTTTGGTTCAAAAAGATCCACAACAGTCTTCTTGATCTTATTTTAGTTGCGGTCACCTTAAAATTGATGATTGTATGCACAACAGCTATTTCTTAAAATATTTGACAGTCATCTAACAGATTGGACGTGGAAACTGTACAAAATTTCAAGTTATTAGGAATTACACTACTAGATGCTGGCCTTATCTGGAACAATCACATCGATGATCTTTGTAAGAAGCTCAGCACTGGTGTATACGTGGTGAGAAGAATTAGATGGTTTGGTGATTTATTATCAGCAAAAACAGCGTACCATGCTTTAATGGACTCGCATATACAATATGGTCTTGTTGTCTGGGGCGGGACTACTGAAAGCAATCTTAACAGAATATTGAAGCTGCAGAAAAAAGCCGTACTTATACTCGCCAACCTCCAACCCTTAGGCAGCTGCAGGGAAGCTTTCAGATCTCTTGGTATTCTGACTGTTGTAAATCTCTACATCAAAGCAGTAATCCTTCTGGTGAGTGAGTCTGATCTGCCAAAAAGTACAAATATTCACACTTACAACACCAGGCGAGGAAACAACTTAATTCTGCCACTACATCATACCACCCAGTACGCTAGAAAACCATCCTACATTGGCCGCAAAGTCCACATGGGCCTACCATCACTACAGTCACTGAAGGGAAAACCGCTGAAAACACAGCTTCACAAGTGGCTGATAGACAGACGTGCTTACTCCTTGAAGGAATTCCTCGAATCCGATCTACATCAATACACCAATTGCACTGAATTTCACAGCATTTTGTTTATCACTTGCATTAAAATAACAATTTTTCATAGTCTCCTCTTAAAACACTGTTTCTTGCAATTTCACAATCCATCCATTTACTAAGCCATCAAAATCCATGTACTAGTTTTAAGTTATATTATTGTAAGTTTTTTTATTCATACATTTTTTTCTACTTTTTAGTTTTTAATGTGTGTGGATGTTAAATCTATTTCAAGCATCTATATCAGATTAAGTCAGAGGCATGTGGGAAATCTAAGGTTTATTTGAGTTTCTTTTCATATAATTATGTATTAGATTGAATGTATGGCCTACCTACTAACTATAAAATTATCAATCTATTAAATTTATTGTTTACTTTATAGAATACTAAATAAATAACAATTGACATTATTAACAAACGCCTTTATATCTGCAATCAGATTGTTTATCTTTATTTTGAAATGTTTGTTTGTATAAAGAATCTTTTGGGAGCATAACCTGAGCATAACCTCTGCTCTCCGAACTGTCAAATTTAATCATTTACAGCTGACTTAAATTAATTGATATATTTACATTCTTTCAAAATGTAAACAAGGAAAATTTGGAAGCCGATGGGGTGTAGCCTAAAGCAGGAAACCCACTGGTCCGACACTCTCCGACACGTCACCTTCCGTCAAGGCTTTTTGGTTGTGTTGCTAGCCTAGTGGTTAGCGTCTCGGACTTTGGTGCGGGAGGGACGGGTTCAATCCCTGGCACATCCAGTGAACATTTATCTCTCGTAACTCTCGTGAAATGCCACTGGCGTAAAAAAAAAAGGCTCCGACACCTTTCGACAAAATTACTTTGCATGATTTTAAATGGACAGTAACCCACTAGTCAGACACGACACCTTCCGATCCGACACGTCACGACAACATTGCTCTCTGGGGCATTCTTGTCGGATGTTGGATCCGTCATTTCTCCACTCTGCGTGCACCAGGCCTTGATTTTAGTCAATGTCTAGCTTTGTGTGTGATCACAAGATGTGGAACAGATATGGAACATGTGATCACAAGTGTGTCATGATTTTGTAAAATTATTAATTACGGAGAAAATTCAAAAATTGTTTTTTTTTTTTTATTCCCATGTCAAAAATTTTCAAAATTCCAAAAATCAAAATGTTCAAAATTCTTATGGAGAATATTGTAAAATAATGTAGTTTGCTTTCTTATCGATATATTTTGATCAAACTTGGTAAATTCATTTATTTTATTCTAAGTTATTAATATTTTACTAAAAAACACACTTGTTTACCCTCCCTGTAGCAGCAAGCCTAGGTGCTCATAAAACCTTATGTTAATTAAATACATTTAATTGAAAATCAATTCAGACAAATATAAATTCGCTTAGTCGGCAGGTTTGCTGCGGCAGGGGTATTATTGTTTATGTTTTGTATTGTACTTTTGCTGATTTCCCTGTAGTAAAGTAATTGTAACAGGAATCATCAAGGTTGGTCTAGGAAGGTCCTTGACCATTGTAATCTCTCATACTAACAGAGATCGTCATAAATGTTATGGACTTTTTTATTATTTGCTCGACTTGTCTCCCTAAACTGTTTGTGAACAGTATGTGATCACATGTTCCATCGCAACTGGCACTGTTGGAGGGCTGGTGTATTTCTCGTCGGAGGCTGGTGTATTTACTGCCGGTGCCCGTCGGACCAATGGGTTAATACCTTAAAATTGCGGAAGGCGTCGGAAGGTGACGGAGACTTGACGGAAGGTGTCGTAGAGTGTCGGACTAGTGGGTTTCCTGCTTAAGGGAAATATGAAAATTAAATGATATAATATTGCATTGTTTCAAATTTCAAGTCTCTAGCTCATCGGGAACTTTGTTTAAAATTGATATCAAAATTTGTAGGAAAGCGAGCTAATAAAATCAAGCCCATGGGGTGTAGACCAAGGGAAATATGAAAATTAAACTATATACATTGACATCCATTTGTGAGCTATGTTTCAAATTTCAAGTCTCTAGCTCATCGGGAACTTCGTTTAAAATTGATATCAAAATTTGTAGGAAAGCGAGCTAATAAAATCAAGCCCATGGGACGTAGCCCAAGGGAAATATGAAAATTAAATGATATAATATTGCATTGTCATCCATTTGTGAGCTATGTTTCAAGTTTCAAGTCTCTAGCTCATCGGGATGTATCAAAATTTGCAAGAGAGCGAGTTAATAAAAACAAGCCCATGGGGCGTAGCCCAAGGGAAATATGAACATTAAATGATATAATATTGCATTGTCTTCCATTTGTGAGCTATATTTGAAGTTTCAAGTCTCTAGCTCATCGGGAAGTTAGTATAAAATTGATTGCAAAAATTTGTACCGGACAAGAAAGCGAGCAAATAAAAACGTTACCGTAGGTCTCATGGTAAGACCTGGGCACGGGACCGATTAAGTTTTTTTTTATGTCCCCAGAGGCCAAAAACACTATTCGTTCAAATTTTTATATGTGTATAACGCGATAACTTGAGTAATTTTTGTCAGTTTTGATGAAATTTTGGTTGAAGGTGTATGATAACTTAGTAATTGAAGGGTTTTTTACGGTTATTGGTAACGGAAAAATTCAAAAATCGTAAATTTAAAATTACTATGCTATTCTTATGGAGAATAAGTAAACTGTTGTAATTTGCTTGTTTACGGATATATTATGATCAAACTTGGCAAATTAACTTATTTTATACTAAGCTATTGATATTCCACTAAAACCCCACTGTATTACCCTCCCAGTAGTAGCAAACCTAGTTACTTGTAAACATAATGTTATTTAAATAGATTTAATTGAAAATCCAATCAGGCAAATGGAAATTCGCTTAGTCTGCAGGTTTGCTGCGGCGGGGGTATTTTCGCCTTAACATTCCATTGACTAAACTAAGCCAACTATCTTCTACATCGACGGACAATGCCCGTTGCCTAGCCAATTTTCCAATTGATTTGAATTTTGTATAATGATTTTACGTATAGTGGTTTATATTACCTTGTTACTGTCCAATAACACGACACATAACACAAAAACACAAAACGAAACATCGTGTTTTTGTGTTATGTGTTGTTTTATTTATGTACTATTAAACTTTTGACAAACTCCACCAAGAGGAATATTTAATGACTACTTGACATTCTTGAGACCTGATAATGTGCTCCATCCGAAACACGAAAGAGCTGTAGTCATAACACACTACAAAGGATTGTTTGGATAGTAACAAGGTAATATAAACCACTATACGTTAATTCAGACGATCCAGAGGCCATTCCAACATGATAAATGATTTTATACAACCTGGATTTTGGTTGAACATGGTTCAGTTGATTGGGGTTTTACTGGATTAAATTTGTATATGTATTGAAGAACTGTGTATACTTTACTACTTTCCTTGAGGCCTTATTTAGTTGTTTTCAACCAAAATCGCTATTAGCCTACTTTACAAACTAACGTTTTTCTTGAAAGTTCATTTTTATTGTAGCTACACAGTTGCTCTAAACTGAATATTTTAAATCATACTGACTAAATTTGGTTAACAGAAATGGAGACAGAAATTTAAGACAAGGCTGCAAAACATTTTTCATGACCTCAAAGGTTATTTATGTAGTAACTAGCTGTACTCGCGGGCTTTGCCCCGTTTAACTTCTTAGTTTTCAAGATGAGCTCGTTCGCATGGCTCAATCACGTCCTGGTTGAAGTTCGTTCGCTACGCTCACTCACCTTTAGGTTGGAGCTCGTTCGCTGCGCTCACTTGCCTTCAGGTTAGCTCGTTTTCTACACTGATTCGCCTCCAGGTTGAAGTTTGTTCGCTACGCTCACTCTCCTTTTGGTTGCAAATTAGCTGTTGTCATTAATTAAAAAAAATAATAGTGCTGCACCCTGTTGGTAATCCTTGTAACTTTAATGCTATTGAACATCATACTGTAGAATAGAACTTGCTTAATTGAAACAGCTGTTAAGATTCTTTAATTCCATTTAAATATGAGTACTCATAAGGTTAACATGGGAAACTCCAGAGCCACTGGGGCAGAGCCCAAAAGCCTGATCAGAATAAAAACTACTTAGGTTTCCTATTTAATGCCCAAAGAATCGGTGTACCGAATTTCAGCCTCCTATGTAAATGGGAAGTGGGAGGATTAGTGATGAGTGAGTCAGTGAGGGCTTTGCCTTTTATAAATATAGATGGCACAAATAAGATTTAAAATGAAAATAACTGAGAAAGTTTGTTCTCGATTTTTGTAGTGAAGGAGAGCGTTGGTACCAGTTTGTGGCCCGGCAGCTAGACCTGGACCTATTGCGTGATCCTGCGTTCCTGTCCATGTGTGTGGGTATGTCTGTAGCTCTAGCGTCTGACATGAGCTTCTCGCTACTACTGCCTTTCATCCTGAGAGACTTTGACTACGACATCAACACCACGGCCCAGCTTCAGTCTGTGGTGGGCGCTGCTGACTTATTGTCCAGGTTCATCACTCCGTTCATCTTGAGTAAGGTTGGACTCTCGGCACGGATTGCCTACTTGCTGAGCCTTATTGGACTCATCTGCAGCAGGTTTTGTGAGTAGATATAAACTTACATTTAAATTACATGCTTCAGGGGAGGTATTATTCATTGGTGTGGGCTTCACTCATCTTTCATTATTTTCTGGTAATATCCAGGACTAGTCAGGTACGAGGACAAACACACACCCATATTACACGCCATCGTTCTCAAATACCAAGTCATACGTTTCATGAAATCTAAAAAAAAAACATACTTATTTTTGTCCCGCAAGCAGTTTGAATGCCTGTCCGTGATTGACCGGACAAAAAAAGGTGGGATCTAAACTTAACTTAACCCAATAGAATTTGTCAACTACCTACAGTAGATTCTCGGTTTCTGGGGGTATATCTCAATGACGATCCTAGTGAGTTAAAACAATTTTTGTTTTGTAAAAGTAGAGCCACTCTCAAGGTGAAAAATATCTGAGTAGGAAGGGCTATGATAATCGATATATTTGGGTTAGGGTCCTAGAGGTAATGAAATGAAATCAACTTTATTCATACTTTGCAATCATGTGCACGAATGGCGTCATTACATTGGATCAAAATCATAATGCTTAATCCTAAAAAAGTACAAGATATAATCACTGTTGAAAAAGTTCTTATTCTAATATATTATGTAGGAGGAAATATTCATTCTTTGGGATTGGTTAAAAAGTACATTTTTAGATTATTTTTAAATTTTGTAGTCCTTGTATAGTCCTTTAGTTTTGTTGGAAGAGCATTGTAACATTTTATACCCATATACATTATTTAAAAAAAAAAATCTTAATCTATGTGAAGGTGTTGCATAGTTATTTCTGTTTCTGGTACAGTATTGACGAGAATCCCCTACCAGTGAGACATTATTTGAATTTTGGACAGCATATAATATACATTGATAGATATAATAGCTATATACAGTCATTATGCCTAGTTCTTCTAGAGAAGTTTGCTACTGCACAATGCGTTGGTGTGGAGTCGCATCTAGTTGGTCGGGTGTTGATGATGTTTTCAGAATTGTGTGCGTAACGACCGCGCCAACACAACTATCCCTTCCAATGCCATACCCCCAAAATGCAACTAGCCCGCGGGTGATGAAGACTCATAAAACATCGAAGGAGAGGTTCTATACCCAATGTTGCAGGATTCTGAAAAAGTCAAATCAATAGAATTGATGTCGGATTTCAGGTTTGACGCTGACTTCAGAGTTGTACAGAGTGTGTGTAGTGGTTGCACTGTTTGGAGCATCTAAGGGGGTGAGGTCAGTGTTCATGCCACTGGTCATCCCCAACTACGTCCCTCTAGACAAGCTACCCTCAGCTCAGGGGCTACAAAACGTCATGCACGGACTGTTCCTCATGATGCTGGGACCTGTCATAGGTAACTCCAACAGAGATATTATTGTTTGTACTGATCTTCCTTAGTGTTTGCGCTAGTGGAGTTTTCAAATGGACGAATCACACTTAATTTTAATGGAAAACGGTCCAAAACAATTAAATATTTACCACATTTTCAATTGAATGCCTCTTTAATAAATTAATAAAAGTACAACTCCTACAAACTAAAATAATCATTTGTCCTATAGGCTACATATTATTTTCGTAAAGTTTTAACTTAACTTAAGTAGGGGTGTGCGAATACTACTTTTTTTAAAATTGAATACGAATTGAATAGAGATAAATTCGAATCGAATTAGAATGTTTTCGAATCGAATACTTTCCCTCGAATAGTATTCGAATAATGAACATTTTTTAACCGAATACTAACCTTCAAATAATGAAAACTTAAAATCAATGTCAAGTCAACTCTCAATAACTTATTACTAAAACTGTTGGTATATTTTTTCAGATTAAGTTAAGTGTAGATTGTAAATGTATCTTTTGTCACAGAAAACATATAACTATAATCCAGAATGCCAACCGCGTGGTAAAAAGCATTAAGTGTTTTGAGAGAGCTTTGCCTGTCAATTGGTAGGCAGTAGGGGTCTGCGGTGCACCGAAAAAGTCGGTACGGTACGGTACAAGCTTAATTACCGTCATCGGTTCGGTACAGCATTTTACACGGTACAAATTCGGTTCGGTACAGCCTATTATAATAATAAATTACTTTCAGTTTACTATCGTAGTCAACGGCAGTTGGTTCCGAGCACATAAAAGTCTTATTAGATGTTTATTTACGATCTTCATAATTTATTACTAGCGTGATGATGCAATAAAAAACCCATAAGCAGTCCCAAATCCATTAACATTTTATCACGACAATAATTGTTGTATTGAAGTACTTCCAAGAACTGGTGAGTTTTATCACTTTTATTTCTTTACGACTTTCCCCAATTCTGTTTTATCATAAAAATAATAGTTTTATGATGACTGTTAAATGTTATCTCTAACTTAATCAGTATTTTCGTGAATATTGAATTTGCCGCTGGCCATTGCCTACTGCCATAAAACTGTTTATGGCTACATATTAAACTTGTAACAAATCTACAATCTTATTTTATAAATTAAATATTTGCTATGGATATTTTATCTTTCTATTGACGACCATGGATATATACAAACTTTTGTCGTAATTTTAATTTCAACATAAAAATACAATATTGCACAATCGTGATATTTTAGGCCATTGACCTTTATTATGCATCCGGTATTGCTGTTTCAGAAGAGAAGAACGTTGATAAATTATAAATTGATATTCCCGTAGTTAAAAAGAATATTTTATAAACCTATAAAACAAAATCATAAAATCTTACATAAAGATAACAATAACGGAAATTGTAAAAAGGGTATAAAGATAACAACGTCATTCTTTCTCTTTGTTCTTCTATTTCTTGGGTTTCCCTTCATCACGCATTCAACAAGTTGCCATGGTTACTAATCACCCATGTCGTTATCAGCTTTTGTGACATAGCGCACAACAGGGGGTAAAACTTGACGAAAATCGGTAAATTTTTACCTATTATTTAATTACCAATGAATGTACGGTACTACTTTATTGGTATTTGGTATTGTATTAATAATCTGTCCAAATGGCTGATTTTTGTCAAATTTTACACCAAATTTATTGAAATTTCAAGGTGAATATTAATAAAACAATTATTACCAAATATTTGTATTCATTTAAAAGATTGATTTGTGGTATTGGGTTCCCCACTAAGTGCAGCCGAGCGGCACTAATGAGGGTCGGACCTTCTTGGGGGTGAACAATAGACGGCTTATCAGACCCTCCCCACCCCCGTGGTCTGGAGAAAGCATGTAAACAAACTATTGCACAAGCGTGCGTGACTTGACATTGAGCTGCTTCAACTATAATTTTGTCATATGTTTTTAAAATAAAAAAAAAAAAACAACTAGACATTGTGTTGGTTGGAAATAATTTATCAGTTTTGTGAAATTATCTTGTCAATAAATGTTTCAAACATGTTTATTCATAAAAACTCTCATCCTATTTTTAAACTACTTTATCATGGCTATTCAAAGTATCTCAGAGTAAAATAGGTAAAGCCTTTATCTCAACTGTGATTTTTCTTGACACAATCCTCGTAGTAGTAAAAGGTTTTGTTTTAATAATATGTGGTACAGTAATTGTTGTTAGAAAACCATGAATGTAGGATACTATCCATTTTCATAGTAATGTCTATGTATTAAAGTTAAAAATAATGGTTTGGATACAGTTCTGAGAAGAAAACCACAAAAATACGGGTAGCCGCGTACCGTACCGATTTTGTACCGAGAACCGAGGTACAAAATATTGTACCGTACCGAACCGTACCGACCTTAAATTTTTTGTACCGCAGACCCCTAGTAGGCAGCGCCACCAGCGTTGCTATGCGGAGTACATGGCAACGCTGGTGGCGCTGCCTACGATTGACAGGCAAAGCTCTCTCAAAACACTTAATGCTTTTTACCATGCGGTTGGCATTCTGGGTTATAGTAGTATGTTTTCTGTGCTTTTGTTTATTTAATTTAGGCCTAGTTTAATTCAATAGGTAACTGAACTTAGATAATAAGTAAAGGTACAAACCTGAACCAAGCTTTATTAGTCAAAATTATAAAGCACTACCAATAACAAATTTTGTAAGACACATTCAACCAATTGGGTAGTGATAATCATTATAACCACATAAAAACGCACATTGTTTTCTTTTACTAAGTAGGGATTTAGGCCTACAACTTACTGTCAGCCCTAAGTATATGTTTTAGAACATAAACTTTAAAAAGGTATGCCTAAAATAAAACTTGTTGTCATAACTTAACATAGCCTAATCTCATGACGCTCATGGCTTAGGCTACTGGACAACTAGGTTTGAAGGTACAAGAACCTAGGCCCTATTTTTAACCATTTACAATACCTAGTTTAAATCTTCGATTGAAATAATAAAGCCCCCTTTAGCCTAAATGTAGGCTAACTTAAACTTAGGCATTTTTAGAATGAGTTTATCAAGTTACATAAATGTATAATTATTAACTTTTAACCTACTTTTAAGGACTTTTTACACGTGTTGCATTCTGCAACAGAGTCCTTTTTGACGAAAAAACTCCCAAATTAAACTCCTTTACTTATTTTTGAATTCTTGTGATGATGTTGAAAACACATTTAGGCCTAAATCGGCTTCTTCATCTGAATCCATCTTGTGTCATTCAACCAAACTTAAATGAAGCCTAGGCCTACAACTTTTAGGCAATATCCAACAGTATAAAAGCAACTGTTGTCAAAATATACAAAAATTGTTACTAAGTTTAGCTGAAATACTTAGCGCAGACGTGCTGCTAAACAAACTGTCTCTAAACTCCAACCTCAAAACTTCTTGTCTTTTAACACAGCTTGCGCTAATGCAATAGAAAAAAGAAAGAACTAACTAGAGAAGTAGAAGAATAGAAGTAGACTTCCATAGCAAGTGCGAATTACGTTTTACTCTGGGATCACGGCAAATCTATCTAGCAGACAAAATTTGTATATTTCATATTTCAAGTTTATAAAGGTGACGGTGCGCGTTTTGGTACCATGTATAAGAGAACTCAGTATAATTTGTTCCGGTATCTTATTCGCCATCACTTTTTCAGTTTTACTTCACTCGAAATAGACACATCAACGTCGTATGCTAGATTTATGTAGGTCTACCGTGATCCCAGAACAAAACGTAACTTGAACCCGATCGCCATCGCCAAGAACAATGAAGGCGGATGAATGTTAATGTAGTGTTTTACAGCACATAATAAGTTTAATAATGTTGGAAAATAATAAAATAAAATATCTAAGTGAGTTTTAATTAAATATTGTATTGCATTTTTATTTAATCTGAAGCAGCTTAATAGTTTTTATTTATTTTCAAACCAAGTTAGAACGGAACTATTTTACCGACCTTGTTTATTTGGCTAATGGCGGAGGACATTATTTCATCGGAAACTCACGACACGATTACACAATAGTTGAAAATGAAACGTTGTCACGCGATAGTCGATAGAAACTGATTACTATTCGTATTTTAGCCCGATGGTAATTTATTATTTATTACTTGAAACACTTTTTTGGCCAACTTGATTTGTTTTATGTTTTCCAAAGCTCCAACTAATTATGTGACCAGATGCGAAGTATTCGAAAAGGTCCGAACTATTCGACCACCTTCGAATTATTCAAAAAATCGAATACTCGCAGATAGAACGAATCGAATCGAATAGTAAAACTATTCGAATAGTAAATATCGAATCGAAATTTTGAATATTCGCACACCCCTAAACTTAAGTAACTTAAGTTTTAACTTGTTCTCTTTTGCTGTAGTACTGTAATGAGAGGGTGGGATTTGTAAACCAATGCATTTAGCATAATCAATGCATTTAAGATCATGCCACACTTAAGTAATGTAACCATCTTAATATCACATTATAGGCCCAGAGGTGCCCATCCCCCCTAAACCCAGAGGCGCAATCCCCCCCCCCCCCCAAGCCAAAGGAGTAGTCCCCCCAATTTATGTTGTCGTCTATTTAAACCTACCCTCCCCCCACCAATTTATCTGACAATTTCCCTTTACCTCATAAAACGAGTATTTAAAGTATTTAGTAAACTTGAGGTACAAAAAACAAACTTGCTGATTGAGAATCAAAATTAAATGTTTAATAGGAAATGTCATTTAACAATACATATCTAAGTAATGGTTGAATTAGAAGTTTTTCAATTTACAAAATTCCGAATTAGTATTGTCAGCCAACACGTGCTCAGTATTGCTATAGACAACGTCTTCAACACGTTCAACAATAGGCCTATACTCGGTGAATTACTCTACTCCAACACAGTACTGTAACTGTACAATATATTAGGTGGATTTAATGTTTAGAGGGTATTAAGAATTCAAACAGCTTTAAGTGTATTAATAATACTTTGGCAAAAAGTATCTTAATTGTTTCAAAATTATAGGCAGAGTCACGAAATAAGTCAGACTTGTTGCTCGCCACTTCCAGGCTGCCTTCTACAAAAATCGCCGGGCAAAATACCATGTTACCAGAACAAAAGGTTTTTGTGACGAAGTAATCTTATAATTCATTTTGATAGCCCCAGGATTGCCTTTTATGACTAAAATGGTAGGAACGTATTTTGTCAGACAATCCGTTTGTACACAAAACACGAAACGATAACAGATAGGCCTATCAATCCACGCGTTTATATTGCCGCGGGAAGGACTGGAAGTAAACTGAATCAGGTTATGACGGAAAGACGTGGTCTCTGGATTGTCGTCTGCGTTATCAAAAGCTGATATTGGACTAATTGTAGTGACGGAGTATGTTCAAAATATAACGGGATTCATAATTGAGTTTTCCATTCAAAACTATTGACAATAATAACCAATTTATATGCTGGATATAAATGATGGTCTCGAAATTCTATAGTACTGCACGAAAGGAAATTTTTAAATACTTTGAGGAGTTTGAAATATATGAATACATAAAATTGGGGACAGCACAACATTTTTGAGTGAAAACACTCAATTAATTGTGAAAGCCATTATATTTTCAATACTCTTCTCAGTCACTATAACAATAGTCCAATATCAGCTGTTGAAAACGCAGACGACAATCGACAATTCAGAGACCACGTCGGTCCGTCATAACCTGAACCCGATTCAGTTTACTTCCAGTCTTGCCGACGGCAAGGTACGCGCGTGAATTGATAAGCCTATCTGTAATCGTTTCGTGTTTTGTGTTAAATGTTTGTAACGTATACTGACGACACCTCCAGAAGGGGATCTTTTGTAAATCCTGACTATGGTGGAGTTAAAGAACCAACAAAACATATGTAGCATGTAAAATTCTACACTGGTATGTTAAGGGTTGTCTGACAAGGTGCTTTACCATTCTTAGAAGCAATCTTAATTACAAACGGCAAAATGTTGGTGTTGATAGTGAGAAACACTTTTTCGGACTGCTTGTACAAAATTATACAGCCATTATGACAGCTAGCAAAAATTAAATATCCCCCCCAAAATCCCTTAAAAATAGTCCCCCCCAAAAATTCCTGTGGCGCAAACGCGCCACAGTACCCCCCTCTGGGCACCCCTGTATAGGCCTAATTTTCTTTTGAGATCTTCTAGCGAATTTCCTATAGCCTACAGAGAATAAGCTATTACTGTATGTTTTCTGGTAAGTCCTTACCTGGAATCACTTACTTTTTCGTTTTGTTGTTCCCAAGGGCAAAAACACCATCCATTCAAATTCATACATACATATGGTCAAATTCATATACATTTTCTTTTCAATCCATATTGTAGAACTAAAAAAAATTAGTAAGGGACATTAAAACTTAGTTGTATGTCTAATGGTTACAGAAAAAAAAACTATAAATTTAAAATTGTCATGTTAATCTTATGTAGAATAAGTAAACTGTTGTAGTTTGCTTGTTTATGGATATATTTTGATCAAATTTGGTAAATCTTTTTTATTTCATACCAAGCAATTTACATTCTTGAATTAAAAAAACACAATTTATAACATTCCTTGTAGCAGCAAAACCAAGTACTCACTAAACCTAATGTTATTAAAATGGGAAATAAATATAAAATATTAGAAGGAATACTTCAATAGAAATCCGATCAGGCAAATATAAACGTACTTAGTCAGCAGGTTTGCAGCGGTAGTATTCTACGATATGTTAGCATTATTTTTTTTTTTTTTAATAAATTTTAACCTTGATTTATCATGCCAGGTTATGTGAGAGACAAGACTGGAAACTACACTCTGTGCATCCACATCATGAACAGTCTCACAGCACTGACTATACTTCTGTGGACTGTAGAGTTTGTGTACATGAGGTCCAAGAACAAGAAGAACACATTCAAGGATGTCGCCGACATGGAAAGATAGTCCATATTAATTATTATGAGAATATTAATTTCTATGCAAAAATGTGCTTAACTGAATTGCAGATACTCATTAAGTACTCTTTATGTACACTGGAGTATCAGCATAAGCTGGACACGTCCTATGCTTATGGAAAGTATTAGAATAGATAAAATTGTGGTTTAAGATAGTTCCTTGAATAAGGGTTTGAAAGTAAAGGTTTGAATTGGAGTAAATCACAGTTCTTGTGATAGTTTAGGTCAAAGTAAAGAGACCTGGACATACATTTTTCAATGGCAACTAAACAGCCTTATATTACTTAGAACTTTTTATATCCTAAAACCAATTGTTTCTGGAGCTGAGTTGTTCAATATCTCTTATGGGTTTACTAAAAATCTTACATCTTCCACCAATGTTCATAAAAATACAATCAAACGTCAGTTTAACTTGTCTGCGAGATGTATTAAAAATGTAAAATGTAGTTATAACAAGATTTTTTTTATTTCAGAGAGTTTATAGTTGTTGAGTTCAGGTTAATGTCTTTTGTGATTTTAACCATATCAGCTATTTTTTTACCTAAAACTTCAACCAATTTATCAAAAAATTAAATAAGACTTAATGCTTTTGATAATTGGAATACTTACTTAGGAAGTACTGGATAATCAAGTGGTTATAGAGCTTGCCTAGCAACAAAAGGTTGCCAATTCGATCCTGAGATACTTAAGTAGCATTTGATGGTTCGAAACTGTGCCTAGCTGTCCACGATTGTCGGCTTCTTTTAAATTATCCTGGTCAAAAAAAAGGTGATCTGGGTCAGCAACAAAACTACACAGATCATCCCAAACCATTGTACACCCACTCTGCTGATATGGGTCAGCAACAACACTACACAGATCGTCCGAAACCATTGTACACCCCTCTGCTGATCTGGGTCAGCAACAAAACTACACAGATCATCCCAAACCGTTGTACACCCACTCTGCTGATCTGGGTCAGTAACAAAACTACACAGATCATCCCAAACCATTGTACAGCCACTCTGCTGATCTGGGTCAGCAACAAACCACACAGATCATCCCAAACCATTGTACACCCACTCTGCTGATCTGGGTCAGCAACAAAACTACACAGATCATCTCAAACCATTGTACAGCCACTCTGCTGATCTGGGTCAGCAAAACAAAACCACACAGATCATCCCAAACCATTGTACACCCACTCTGCTGATCTGGGTCGGCAACAAAACTACACAGATCATCCCAAACCATTGTACACCCACTCAGCTGATCTGGGTCAGCAACAAAACCACACAGATCATCCCAAACCATTGTACACCCACTCTGCTGATCTGGGTCAGCAACAAAACTACACAGATCATCCCAAACCATTGTACACCCACTCTGCTGATCTGGGTCAGCAACAAAACTACACAGATCATCTCAAACCATTGTACAGCCACTCTGCTGATCTGGGTCAGCAAAACAAAACCACACAGATCATCCCAAACCATTGTACACCCACTCTGCTGATCTGGGTCGGCAACAAAACTACACAGATCATCCCAAACCATTGTACACCCACTCAGCTGATCTGGGTCAGCAACAAAACCACACAGATCATCCCAAACCATTGTACACCCACTCTGCTGATCTGGGTCAGCAACAAAACTACACAGATCATCCCAAACCATTGTACACCCACTCTGCTGATCTGGGTCAGCAACAAAACTACACAGATCATCCCAAACCATTGTACACCCACTCTGCTGATCTGGGTCAGCAACAAAACTAAACTACACAGATCATCCCAAACCATTGTACACCCACTCTGCTGATCTGGGTCAGCAACAAAACTAAACTACACAGATCATCCCAAACCATTGTACACCCACTCTGCTGATCTGGGTCAGCAACAAAACCACACAGATCATCCCAAACCATTGTACACCCACTCTGCTGATCTGGGTCAGCAACAAAACCACACAGATCATCCCAAACCATTGTACACCCACTCTGCTGATCTGGGTCAGCAACAAAACTACACAGATCATCCCAAACCATTGTACACCCACTCTGCTGATCTGGGTCAGCAACAAAACTACACAGATCATCCCAAACCATTGTACACCCACTCTGCTGATCTGGGTCAGCAACAAAACTACACAGATCATCCCAAACCATTGTACACCCACTCTGCTGATCTGGGTCAGCAACAAAACTACACAGATCATCCCAAACCATTGTACACCCACTCTGCTTATCTGGGTCAGCAACAAAACTACACAGATCATCCCAAACCATTGTACACCCACTCAGCTGATCTGGGTCAGCAACAAAACTACACAGATCATCCCAAACCATTGTACACCCACTCTGCTGATCTGGGTCAGCAACAAAACTACACAGATTATTCCAAACAATTGTACACCCACTCTGCATTCTTATTCAGTTCAGCGAAACTAAAAGTTGATGTTACAGTGACGTAGCCAGGATTTCAAAATAGGGGGGGTCGACCGACCGGAGGGTCTGGGGAGTATTCCATACCCCCCAGGTAAATGGGGGGTCCGGGAAAAATATAGGTCCTAAAACGGTCTTTTTTAGCTCTCTTGGCATTGAAAATTATCAACCCCAACGTCAATACAGTATGATTATATAATTTTACATTTAATTTAACAAAAAAATATTATATTTAAGACCGGAAGGGGGGGTCCGGACCCCCAGGACCCCCCCCCCCCCCCTCTGGCTACGTCACTGGTTAAGTAATGTTTGATGCTCAAACTAAATGCTCAAAATACTCTTTCACAATTGATCAATTATTTGTAATTTTATACTTATCCATTTTATACATCATAAAATGTCTGGATGTTTTTAAATCATCCTCACAAAGAATATTTTGTTTGTAATTGTAAATGTGTACTGTAGGCCTTAGTTATTACTAAGCAAGCAAGTATATATTTTGTATTATTCATTCAGAGTTTATATTTCAAATCATTTGTTAACTAGTATAGCATTGTAAACTGTAACCCTAAGCAAGCAAGTATATATTTTTGATTACTCGTTCATAGTTTATATTTTAAATCATCCGTTAACTAATATAGCACTGTAAACTGTAACCGATTTCATAACAATCGTTAATGCAGTAGAGTTATCTTAATCTAAAAACCGCTTCTAAATGTTCTGGTCAATCAAAACGCATTCAGAAGTTAAATGTTGTTAGAATTTGGTCTTCTTGTTCTTAAATAAAAGAAGAGATCTTAAGAGGTAAAACGAAAAAAATATTGTCCAAGATTCAGCCTCTAATCGACAAATACACACAGAAATACGGTACTATATAAAGTACACTTAATTCACAAATGAAATGGCTCTTGATGGAGACAATGCTGTACAATTGGTGAGCCAACTGTGTTTATTTTTAGTGTGTCCATGGCCTTGGCCTTGGAAATGGTTCTTGGACCTAATTTGTTGTTACTAGTGAAATACAATTTTGTTAACATAGCAATATTCCCAGTATCCCACTAAAAACTGTTTGCTTTTGAAAAAGTTCTGATAACAATTGGTTTGGATTAAGATACTCTAAAGCAATTGCATATTTTATCGCGTACTTATTTCTAGAATGATAAGTGATAATGATGTGTTAGTTTTAAATTTAATCATCCAAAACAATTGTCTAACAATATATCCATTTAAAAAAAGAGAATTTATTTACAGTTATTTGTCTTGTTGTATTAGCACAAATGTGTAATTATTTGCGCTCATTGTTACTTTAGGTTAATGTAATCGTATTCACCATTCAGTTAATTTGTGTGTTTTATACCTAATGTTTTAGATATAAATAAATAAAACTTTACCAAAATTTATAAAATTGAGAAGTGATATGTTCCTTTTTTATGCTTTTAAAATTAGCTTTCTTTACATTAGTCAAGATTTTAAAATAAGCTATTTGGCAAGATATTTTAAGTTATTTGAGCGGAGCGAAGCGAAGCGAGCGAAGCTCTTATACTACACTCCTGCTTTTGTTTTACAAATACTCCTCCTGAACGGCTGAAGCGATCTGCACCAAATTTAGCACAACCATAGTAACCGACCATGGGAAGGTATAAATCTGAAATGGTACAAATCGGACCACAGGGCTTTTCTCTACGTGAATTCAAACTTTTGGAAATTTAACATGGGCCTTATGGGTTAATTGGTTGCCATGACATTATTTGCAAGATAACAATAAAAAGGTAAACAAGAGTCGCAACATATGTTAGTCAACGAATCACCCAAATAGCATATTACAAATACCGTACAGAGAAAAAGGGAAGAAAAATCGGATTAATATCATTGAGTATAATTTACTACAAAATGAAATACCAATAATTATGGTCGGCGGAATAAGGCTGATGCACCATAATCCAAATAGCCATTCCATTTATGTGAACCAAATCTAGGCCTACATACAATTGAGTTTGGATACTGCAAGTAGACATTCCATTGACGTGAACCAGGCATACCATTGGCATTGGATACTGCAAATAGACACAATACAATACAATACAATACAATATTCTTTATTGTTAATTCGTCAAGAATTACAATAGTGTCAATACAATAGTGAATTGTACATGTTAATTTTCATAAAATTCCTTTATTGAGTAGAAGGGTCTTGCGATTAGCCACTTCTTCAGCTCCTGGTGTAGCTTGTTGCCAGTCAGGTCTCTCAGGTAGTCAGGTAGATGGTTCCTCAGCTTGCAGCCGGTGTAGGAAGGTTTTTTCTCCCAAAGAGTTGTTCGGTGAACTGGTAGTGCAAATTTGGAGCCATGACGGGTGTTGTAGTGGTGCAGGTCTTGGTTTCTTGGGGGGTTTATTTCATTCACATACTTAATGGTTTCAAGTATGTAGAGAGACACCACTGTGAGGATTCCTAGGTTTACGAATGCTAGTCTGCAAGTCTGTGGTGGTACAAGGTTGGCGAGGGCTCTTATGGCTTTCTTTTGAAGGACAAGAATTCGATTCATATTTTTTGTTGAAGTTCCTCCCCACACTGTCAAGCCATATCTAAGATGCGACTCTACCAGTGCGAAGTAAGCTGTTTTGGCCACAGAGAGTCCGCCTGTGTAGTTTATCCTTCTGACGACATATATTCCAGTACTGATTTTTTTGCTTAGGTGGTTGATGTGCTCTTTCCATGTTAGTTTGTTATCAAGGATAACACCGAGAAATTTTGTGTAGTTTTCTATTGTTACATCCTCTAATTGAGGGACTATGTCTTTTTTCTTACTGAAATTCAGAGTTGTAGTTTTTGTGGGGTTTATTGCTAAGTCATTGTTCTTTGAGTAGAGGATAGCTTTATTTAAGATCGATTTTGAATTAAGGTAAAGGCTTTGGGCTGTGTTGTCCTTGATCAAAATGGTTGTGTCATCTGCATACATGATTGCAACAGCATTTTCACTCTCAATTTGTTTGGGGAAGTCATTAGTCAATAAGATGAATAGAATCGGGCCTAATACAGAGCCTTGTGAAACTCCTCTCGTCAGCTTGCTTTTTGAAGATTTGAAACTTTCTGTGACTTCATTTGATGAGTTTTTCAGTTCCACGACTTGTGAACGTCCCGTTAGGTAGCTTTTGAACCATTCTAGCGCAGAGTTTCTTATACCGAGTCTTTCAAGTTTCTTGCATATCAGGTCGTGGCCCAGGCAGTCAAAAGCCTTACTGTAATCAAGGAAGATGGCGGAAATGTATTGTTCGTTTTCTATCTGGTCTAGGACGTACTCAATTAGTGCTGTTATAGCTGAGGATGTAGATTTATTCTTCCGAAAGCCATGTTGGTTGTCAGTTAAGAGTTTGTTATGATTAAGATGTGCCATTAATCTAGCCAGAGCAATTTTTTCTATGATTTTAGAGAAACTGGAGATGAGAGAAATGGGCCTGTAGTTTTGAGCATTTTCAGTTGGTCCTTTTTTATGTTTGGGGTATATTTTACTGACTTTTATGGCGGATGGGAATTTGCCTTCTTTAAATGATTTATTTATAAGATAAACCAGAGGAGAGATGAGTTCTTGAGAGCAGTGCTTTATCATCTTAGAGGAAAACTCATCTATTCCACTTGATGTTTTGGCTTTTAGGGAGTTTATTATCGTTTTAACTTCTTTATAGGATGTTGAAGTTAGGGTAAGGTGTATTGGGCAGACTGGTTCCTCTCCACTCAGCACTGTTTCAGGGTCTATAACGATTGCTCTGTTTTGGTCAAGGGTATTTTCTGCTATATTTGAGAAGAATGTGTTGAAGTGTTCGGCCATTTCTTTTGTGTTGTTTGTGAGTTTGCCATTTATTTCTAATTCTGCAAGGGTTTTCTCTTCACATTTTCCTTTCCTTTCCTTGTTTATAACTTGCCATAGTGCTTTTGGTTTGTTGTCAGCTTGTTCTATGAAGCTAGCTGTTGAGGACATTTTTAGGTTTCTTAGTTTCATGTCGTATATCCTTTTTCTATTAATCATTTCTAATTTGTCTTCATTTCTGTTCGTTAACACAAACTTTTGCAGAGCTTTCAAAAAGTTCTCTTTAAGGTATTTTGCTTCAGGATCGTAGTACTTCATATGTTTTTTTGTTTTTAATAATTTTAGTTTTCTTTAATGGGCATGTATAATCCAGTGCTGTTTGAAGAATATTATGAAATTTGTTGTAGGAGGTTTCAAGATTGGGTGAAGAGTAAACATGTTCCCAATTTTGTAGATGGAGGTGGGCCTTCAGATTGTTTAGGTTTGTGTTGTTTAGGCTTCTTTTCATTACAAATCTT